AAAAGATTTTTTCTAAAACAAATCCACTCTCTTTTTGACTCTTCTCTCTACACTGTTTCCTCTCTTCCCTTTCAGAATAATAATCGATAATATGTGTCCAAATTGAGAAAGAACTAGTATAACGTATTAGTAAATATATTAGTAACATGTTCTCAACTGCCACTCTCCTCCATGCAATGCGATGAGGCATTGACAAGTGTTTTTGTGTGTGTGTGCGTGTGAGTAAATAAATAAATCGATTGAATGAACCCATTCAAATGAGAGTTCGCTGAGAATAATAGCAGTCCAATTGCATGATGAATGAAATGGCTGATGAACGTATAAAAATTAGTTACGACTCTAAGGAATTGGAACTAAATTTTAATGCACACATATTACTCCCGTCCTATCCTAATAAGCTGTATCGTAGCCTGAAGAGAAATACCTCTTCTCCTTTTCACTTTTCCACCCTGTTGCTTTCCCTCTCAGGCTATTTTCCTTTTATTTCTAAAACAAATTTGCTTTAAGTGTTGCTATGAATATTTTATTTGAATGTAAATATTGGTATTTAGGTAAGTGTGTTGACAATTTGTAGATCTGTTTAGAGGGACGACAAACGTGTCGTGGTGAAGGTGATAGCCAAATGTGGCAACTTGGTAAAAAATTCTGGCTATTGTTATTCAAGTGTTTGGCAGCGCAAAAGAAGGGAAGACAAATGACTGAAGGACATTGTTATGAAGAAACATAGGCAGGACATGATGGAGAATCAGGGAGAGAGGGAGAAGGATAATAAAACCGATTATTAAGGGAATTGTGGAAAAATTTTGAGGGGTAGGATTTTTAGGTGGCAATCATTTCTTAGTTTTTAGATAAGAAACCAATTTCCTTAAAATTCGTATGAAAAAATATTATTTTTCAAAACCTGACCTTCAAACCGGTTTTGAAAAAATCCCCACATTTCCACATCACCAAAAAACCTCCTGCATAACAAGTAGCCCATGGGTAAGCTAGACACGAGTCTCTTCATTTCATACGTGAGCACTTCTTTTGCCAGCAGAAGATGGCCGGCCAAGCAAGCTTAAGGTTAATAAACTTTTCAGGGACCCCAAAAGCAACAGCTTGTCATGGTTATTCTGCAACAACAACAACAACAACAAAAATGCAAGTCTGACAAAATACTTAGACAAAATGGGGGAAAAATTAATAATGTCCTCGTTTGTTTCTAGGGTCATAAACAAAATGCTGAGTATGCTGATGACGACGATGATGATGAACTAGAAAATAAGGCACTTGATGGGGCCATGAGAATGGTTACGTTAAGTCCTTTAAGTTTTTGCTACTGAGACAGAGATGGGAGTGCGTATTTTTTTAATAAAATATCCACAAAATGTGGATAATTATTTTAAAGTGGATAATTTATTTATCCAATGTGTGGATAATTTATTATCCACATACTTGGATACACTTTTATCCACATACTTGGATAATTTGTTTATCCACAGCATACAATGTATTTGCGACACCTAGATGACATGAATAATGTATCTATGATATGGATAATGTATCTAAGATTTCTAGAGAACTTAAAAAATGTATCTACAATATTTAAATTACGTAGATAATGTATCTACGATATCTAAATGCCGTATATAATGTATCTAAGTCTGGTATAATTTATCTACGATATTTAAATGACGTGGATAGTGTATCTACGATATGTAAACGACGTGAACAATGTATCTACGATATTAAAATGAAGTGGATAATGTATCTACGATATTTAAATGAAGTGGATAATGTATCTACGATATTTAAATGACTTGGATAATGTGCCTACGTCTTGTATAATGTATCTACGATATTTAAATGACGTGTATAATGTATCTACGTCTGGTATAATGTATCTATGATATCTAAATGACGATGATAATGTATCTACGTCTGGTATAATGTATCTATGATATCTAAATGACGTTGATAATGTATCTACGTCTGGTATAATGTATCTACGATATCTGAATGACGTGTATAATGTATCTACGTCTGGTATATTGTATCTACGATATCTAAATGACGCGGATGATGTATCTACGTCTGGTATAATGTATCTACGATATCTGAATGACGTGTATAATGTATCTACGTCTGGTATATTGTATCTACGATATCTAAATGACGTGGATAATGTATCTACGTCTGGTGCATGTATCTACGATATCTGAATGACGTGTATAATGTACCTACGTCTGGTATATTGTATCTACGATATCTAAATGACGTGTATAATGTATATACGATATCTAAAGGACGTGGATAACGTATCTACGTCTGGTATAATGTATCTACGATATCTAAATGACATGGATAATGTATCTACGTCTGGTATATTGTATCTACGATATCTAAATGACATGTATAATGTATTTACGTGTGATATAATGTATCTACGATATCTAAATGACGTGGATAATGTATTTCCGTCTGGTATAATGTATCTATGATATTTAAATGACGTGGATAATGTATCTACGTTTGGTATAATGTATCTACGATATCTAAATGACGTTGATAATGTATCTACGTCTGGTATAATGTATCTACGATATCTGAATGACGTGTATAATGTATCTACGTCTGGTATATTGTATCTACGATATCTAAATGACATGGATGATGTATCTACGTCTGGTATATTGTATCTACGATATCTGAATGACGTGTATAATGTATCTACGTCTGGTATATTGTATCTACGATATCTAAATAACGTGGATAATGTATCTACGTCTGGTGCATGTATCTACGATATCTGAATGACGTGTATAATGTATCTACGTCTGATATATTGTATCTACGATATCTAAATGACGTGTATAATGTATATACGATATCTAAATGACGTGGATAACGTATCTACGTCTGGTATAATGTATCTACGATATCTAAATGACGTGGATAATGTATCTACGTCTGGTATAATGTATCTACGATATCTAAATGACGTGGATAATGTATCTACATCTCATATAATATATCTGCTATAATGTATCTACGATATTTAAATGACGTGGATAATGTATCCACACCTCATATATTGTATCTGCATCTGCTATAATGTATCTATGATATCTAAATGACGTGGTTAATGTAGCTACGGCTGGTATAATGTATCTACGACATCTAAATGACGTGTAAAATGTATCTACGTTTGGTATAATGTATCTACGATATGTAAATGACGTGGATAATGTATCTACGTAGTCTAAATGACGTGTATAATGTATCTATGTATCTACGTCTGGTATAATGTAAATACGATGTTTAAATGACGTGGATAACGTATCTATGATACCAAAATTACATGGATAATGTATCCAGGTCTTCTATAATGTATATGCCATATCTAAATCACGTCGATAATGTATCTACGATATCTAAATGACATGGATAATGTATCTACGATATATAATTGACGTGGGTAACGTATCCACGATATATTAATGATGTGTATAACGTAACTACGATACCAAAATGAAATGGGTAATGTATATAGCTCTTGTATAATGTATATGCCATATCTAAATCACGCCGATAAAGTATCTACGATATCTAAATGACATGGATAATGTATCTACGATATCTAAATGACGCGGATAATGTATGTACGATACATATAATTTATTTATCCACCAAATAAGGATAATTTTTTATCCACAAAACGTGGATAATTTATTTATAAAAATTCGAGAATAATTTATTTATCCACAAATGGGGAAAATTTATTTACGTTGATACTTATTAATCCACGAAATGTGGATAGTTTATTTATCCACAAATGTGGATAAAACGATTATCCACAGAAGGTGGATAATTTATTTATCTAAATTTGAGAATAATTTATTTATTCGTAAATGTGGGAAATTTATTTATCCACAAAACATTTAAAAATTTGTTTATCCACAAAATGTGGATAATTTATTTATCCACAAATTTGGATAATTCATTTATCCACAAAATACGGATCATTGTTTACCTACGAATGTTGATAATTTATTTATCCACAAAACGTGGATCAGTTGTTTATCCACAAATCGAGGATAATTTATTTATTCCCAAATTCAATTATCCGAAAAATGAGAATAGCTTATTTATCCATAAAGATGGATAAATTATTTACCCAAAAAGATGGATAATTAATGTGGATAATTTACTTATCCAAATTTGTGGAAAATTTTGCTTTTCCACAAAAGTGGATAATTTATTTATCCACAAACAAGGATAATTTATTTATCAATAAATGTCGAAACATATATCATTTTTTATCCACTAACGTGGATAATTTTTCCTCCACAAATGTGAATTTTTTATTTATTCATAAAGTCTGGATATTTTTTATCCACAACCGTGGATAATCTATTATCCACAAATTTAGCTAACTTATTTATCCACAGGTGTGGATAATTTTTTTTATCCGAATTTTTTGATAAATTATGTATCCACAAATTACAAATAATTTATTTATCCTTTAAATTTGAATTATTTATTATTTATACGAATACCTCCTTCCCATCCCTGTTGACCTGCATGTGTCCAAGTGCATGTGTGCCACTTGTCGTCGTATTTTTTATGTAATCGAGACGTACTACAAATGACACAACCCAGAACGAAAAAAACAAAAAGGACAGACACTGCGTGGGCGTAAGGACGAGTAAATATTTACGAGACAACAAAGGAACAACGTACGGACACGGATAGAATGTAATTAAGTAGAAATGTATATTTGTTCAAGCATGCACGCACGCACACAGGCTTGGGCAAGGAGCAGCAAATAATCCTAATTAAATGATTTTCGAATTTTCACAAAGGTCAAGAAAATAAAAGGGATAAGTGGGATAAAGGAATCAAAAGGGAATGAGAAGAGTACTTCTTTGACTTTAGAAAGGAGTTGTAATTCAGATTACCCATCCTTGGGTATTTCGAATGTAATTGGAAAATATTTGAAAATGTAATCTCCCACTTACCTTCATAATCGATTCGCCCATCCTGATCCAGATCCGCTATGGCCAATAGCTGTGTCAGCTGTGTCTCTGTCAGGGGCTCACCAATCATTTCCATGGCGGTTTGTAATTCATCACGGGTAATAAAGCCATTGCCATCCCGATCAAATACTCTGTAAATGAATTGGAGTGCGAAAAAACAACAAATTTACAAATTGGTTTACAACAACAACAACAAAACAATGTAATTTTCAAGTAGAGCAATAAAAGGATAAAAATGAAAAAAAAAAATCAGTTTGACATTGTGGCTTTCACCAACACCACAGCTATCTACCACACACACGCACACACACAGAGGCAGGCAGTCATGTTGTGCAAAAGATATCAGATTTTTTTCTTCGCATTTGTTTTTCCCGAGGATTTATATAACACCGCACTTAATGGCCTTTCACGCTCAATGACAGACTAGGCAAATCACAAAAACCGCAGAGAATGGCAGAGAGAGAAAAAAAAAACGTTGTAAAACGCATTTTGATGCTGACATCGGCTGGGCTTTTGTGGTGAAGGATGTAAGCTATACAGGGTTAAAGGCAAGGATGGGGAAATCTGAGGACTTAATGTTACCAAATCCACGTTGGTCCTTGAAAAATAATTTTTAAAAAAATCCACGTCGCCTTTGGTCCTTGAAAAATAATTTTTAAAAAATCCACGTTGTCTTTGGTCCTTGAAAAAAATTTTAAAAAAATCCACGTCGCCTTTGGTCCTTGAAAAATAATTTTTAAAAAATCCACGTTGTCTTTGGTCCTTGAAAAAAATTTTAAAAAATCCACGTTGTCTTTGGTCCTTGAAAAAATATTTTTAAAAAATCCACGTTGTCTTTGGTCCTTGAAAAATAATTTTTAAAAAATCCACGTTGTCTTTGGTCCTTGAAAAATAATTTTTAAAAATCCACGTTGTCTTTGGTCCTTGAAAAATAATTTTTAAAAAATCCACGTTGTCTTTGGTCCTTGAAAAATAATTTTTAAAAAATCCACGTTGTCTTTGGTCCTTGAAAAATAATTTTTAAAAAATCCACGTTGTCTTTGGTCCTTGAAAAATAATTTTTAAAAAATCCACGTTGTCTTTGGTCCTTGAAAAATAATTTTTAAAAAATCCACGTTGTCTTTGGTCCTTGAAAAATAATTTTTAAAAAATCCACGTTGTCTTTGGTTCTTGAAAAATAATTTTTAAAAAATCCACGTTGTCTTTGGTCCTTGAAAAATAATTTTTAAAAAATCCACGTTGTCTTTGGTCCTTGAAAAATAATTTTTAAAAAATCCACGTTGTCTTTGGTCCTTGAAAAATAATTTTTAAAAAATCCACGTTGTCTTTGGTCCTTGAAAAATAATTTTTAAAAAATCCACGTTGTCTTTGGTCCTTGAAAAATAATTTTTAAAAAATCCACGTTGTCTTTGGTCCTTGAAAAATAATTTTTAAAAAATCCACGTTGTCTTTGGTCCTTGAAAAATAATTTTTAAAAAATCCACGTTGTCTTTGGTCCTTGAAAAATAATTTTTAAAAAATCCACGTTGTCTTTGGTCCTTGAAAAATAATTTTTAAAAAATCCACGTTGTCTTTGGTCCTTGAAAAATAATTTTTAAAAAATCCACGTTGTCTTTGGTCCTTGAAAAATAATTTTTAAAAAATCCACGTTGTCTTAGGTCCTTGAAAAATAATTTTTAAAAAATCCACGTTGGGTTTGGATTTTGACAAATAATTTTTAAAAAATCCACGTTGCCTTTGGTCCTTGAAAAATAATTTTTAAAAAATCCACGTTGCCTTTGGTCCTTGAAAAATAATTTTTTAAAAATCCACGTTGCCTTTGGTCCTAGAAAAATAATTTTTTAAAAATCCACGTTGCCTTTGGTCCTAGAAAAATAATTTTTAAAAAATCCACGTTGCCTTTGGTCCTTGAAAAATAATTTTTAAAAAATTTAGGTTGCCTTTGGTCCTTGAAAAATAATTTTTAAAAAATTTAGGTTGCCTTTGGTCCTTGAAAAATAATTTTTAAAAAATTTAGGTTGCCTTTGGTCCTTGAAAAATAATTTTTAAAAAATCCACGTTGCCTTTAGTCCTTTGAAAAATAATTTTTAAAAAATCCACGTTGCCTTGGGCCCTTGAAAAATAATTTTTAAAAAATCCACGTTGCCTTTGGTCCTTGAAAAATAATTTTTAAAAAATCCACGTTGCCTTTGGTCCTTGAAAAATAATTTTTAAAAAATCCACGTTGCCTTTGGTCCTTGAAAAATAATTTTTAAAAAATCCACGTTGCCTTTGGTCCTTGAAAAATAATTTTTAAAAAATCCACGTTGCCTTTGGTCCTTGAAAAATAATTTTTAAAAAATCCAAGTTGCCTTTGGTCCTTGAAAAATAATTTTTAAAAAATCCACATTGGCCGTTTGGTCCTTGAAAAATAATTTTAAAAAAATCCACGATGCCTTTGGTCCTTGAAAAATATTTTTTAAAAAATCCACGTTGTTTTTGGTCCTTGAAAAAAGTAATAATTTTTAAAAAATCCACGTTGCCTTTGTTCGTTAGAAAATAATTTAAAAAAAATCCACGTTGCCTTTGTTCGTCAAAAAATAATTTTTAAAAATTGAAAAATAATTTTAATAAAATCCATGTTGCCTTTGGCCTTTGAATAATAATTTTTAAAAAATCCAAGTTGCCTTTGGTCCTTGAAAAATAATTTTTAAAATTTGGTCCTTGAAAAAATATATTTAAAAAATCCTCGTTGCTTTTGTGTTCCAAAAAAATCCGAGAGTATTGACTTGTCCAAAACTCAAAACTATTTTAATGTCCCTTTTAAAAGGGCATGGCATTTTGAGCATGTCCTGCTGATAACATTTATGCCATATGTTACCATACGCAACCACTTGTCAGACACAAAACACTTTGAGGAGGACCACAACAAAAACCAACAACTACAACAATTCCTCCAATTCCCCTTAAAAACGTGCATCCAGTTGGGGGTTATGTCATTTTCAGATGACTCCAGCCGAGAGCGAGCAGCCATCGAGGAGACAAACCACTGTGCCACATTCATGTTCAAGTGGTTAAATGGTCCAACAAGCACCCACACAATCATACATCACACACACAAATACACACTTTCAAACTATTGAACAGAGGCATGGATACATACCTAAATGCTGCAATTAAATCCTGGGTGACATCATCCAATTCATCGGGTTTGCTGGCGTTTTCCTCTTGTTGCTGTTGTTGGTGTTGCTCGTCGCGCAGGGCCTGTATGCGACCCACCCATTGCAGGAATTCCGCTTCATTTATTAAACCATTACCTAGATGACGGGAACAATGGCAGCAGCAAACACCAATAAGCCATCGGGTATTACAGAATTTGCAATAACGTGTCGGCAAACATTGTTGTCGTTGGCAGGGTACAGCAGGGCGAGAGAGTGGGGAGAGAAAAAAATACGAATGCAATTAAAACAATGAAATCGTAGCAAATAACTAAAATACTTGTTTCCCCCCATCATGAAATAAAAAATGAAGTTTTTTCCTATAACTTAATTAGAAACGATGAGAGATGGACCAATGGAATTTGGACGGTTGCAGGAGGGGAAGTCAAAGTGAATTCCTAAAAGGAATTTATGGATAGTTAGAAAAATATAATTATATAAAACATTAATTTTCTTAATCCACCAAATGTCTTCTATTCAGAAGATCTTTTTTTAGCGTGATTTTTAGAGGAGGCCCCTGAAGGGTTTCCTACCTATAGAAGGACCTTTGAAGGGCCTTATATCCATAGAAGGCCCTTTGAAGGCTCTTCTATCTATAGATGATCCTTTGCTCCTCTATCTACAGAAGAACCTTTTAAGTGTCTTTAATAAGTAGAAGGCTCATTGAAGGACGTTCTGTCTATAAAAGGCCCTTAGAAGGGTCATATATCTATAGAAGGTTCCATTAAAGGTCTTTTATCTATAGAAGGTTCTATATAGGGTCTTCTATCCAGAGAAGGACCTTTGAAGAGAATTCTATTCAAAGTAGATTTTTTGAAGGGACTTCTATCTATAACAGACTGTAAAGGGACTTCTACATGTAGAAGGCAGGGTCTCCTATTTACAGAAGCTCTCTTAAGGGTCTTCCATCAGTAGAAGGCCCTTTGAAGGATCTCATTTCTATATAAAGCCCTTTGAAGGGTCTCATATCTATAGAGAGCCTTTGAATGGTCTTCTATTTATAGGAGACCTTTCGAAGGATATCATATCTATAGAAGCTACTTTGAGAGGTATTCTATCTGAAAAGGCCTTTTAGTGAGCCTTCTAGCAATACAAGGGACATTGTAAAAATCTTATTATCGCTCTTGGACATTGGAATAAATAAATTTTTTAAAAAACCACGTCCCTTTTGGACATTGAAAAATATTTTTTTAAAAATCCACGTCCCTTTTGGACATTGAAAAATATTTTTTTAAAAATCCACGTCCCTTTTGGATATTGAAAAAATATTCTTTAAAAAATCCACGTTTTTCTTGGTCCTCGAAAAAATATTTTTTAAAAAATCCACGTTTTTCTTGGTCCTCGAAAAACTATTTTTTAAAAAATCCACGTTTTTCTTGGTCCTCGAAAAAATATTTTTTAAAAAATTCACGTTTCTATTGGTCCTTGAAAAAATATTTTTTAAAAAATCCACGTCACTTTTGGTCCTTGAAAAAATATTCTTTAAAAAATCCACGTCACTTTTGGTCCTTGAAAAAATATTCTTTAAAAAATCCACGTCACTTTTGGTCCTTAAAATTTTATTTTTAAAAATCCACGCTCCTTTTGGACCTTAAAAAAATATTCTTTAAAAAATCCACGTTTATTTGGATACTTGAAAAAATATTCTTTAAAAAATCCGCGTTTACTTGGATACTTGAAAAAATATTCTTTAAAAAATCCACGTTTATTTGATCCTTGAAAAAATATTATTTGAATAATCCACGTTTATTTAATCCTTGAAAAATTCCACCTTCCTTTTGGTCCTTGAAAAAATATTTTTTAAAAACCCACGTTCCGTTTGGGCCTTGAAAAAATATTCTTTAAAAAATCCACGTCACTTTTGGTCCTTAGAATTTTATTTTTAAAAATCCACGCTCCTTTTGGACCTTATAAAAATATTCTTTAAAATCCACGCTCCTTTTGGACCTTATAAAAATATTCTTTAATCCACGTCACTTTTGGTCCTTGAAAAAATATTCTTTAAAAATCCACGTTTATTTGGATACTTAAAAAAATATTCTTTAAAAAATCCACATTTATTTGGATACTTGAAAAAATATTCTTTAAAAAATCCACGTTCTTTTGGTCCTTTAAAAAATATTTAAAAAATCCACGTTCTTTTGGTCCTTTAAAAAATATTCTTCAAAAAATCCACGTTTCTTTTGGTCCTTGAAAAAATATTCTTTAAAAATCCACGTTCCATTTGGTCCTTGAAAACATATTCTTTAATAAATACACGTTTCTGGTGGTCCTTGAAAAAATATTCCTTAAAAATTCACGTTTCTTTTAGTCCTTGAAAAAATATTCTTTAAAAAATCCACGTACCTTTGGACCTTGAAGAAATATTTTTTAAAAAATCCACGTTCCTTTTGGGCCTTGAAAAATATTCTTCAAGGATATATGTTAATTTTGATCCTTGAAAACATTTTCTTTAAAAAATCCACGTTTCTTTTGGTCCTTGAAAAAATATTTTTTAAAAATTCACGTTCCGTTTGGACCTTGAAAAAATATTCTTTATAAAATTCACGTTCCTTTTGGTCCTTGAAAAAAATATTCTTTAAAAAATCCACGTTTCTTTTGGTCCTTTAAAAAGAATTCTTTAAAAAATCCACGATCCTTTTGGTCCTTAAAAAATATTTTTTTTTAAATCCACGTTTATTTTGGTCTTTGAAAAAATATTACTTTAAAAAAACCACGTTTCTTTTGGTCCTTGAAAAAATATTCTTTACAAAGTCCACGCTCCATTTGGTCCTTGAAAAAAATTTTTTTTTAAATCCCCTTAAATTCAAATTATATGATTTTATTTTTTGTAATTTTTTGGTGGCGTATACTTGTCGAAAGCAATCATACGCCACCGTACTCCCACCTAATTCCACATAAATTGTTTGATGATTATGAAACTACATATGGGTACATAAAGTGTTAAGTTACGAGAGTCTTCGCCAGACGTATTTGATATGGTTGAACAAAACTGTTGCATAATAACAGGCTGTAGCTCATGAATAACTAGTTATCAAATTACCAATCAGATGTGTGTAGAAGCCCTCATACTTGCAGATGTAAATGCGATGAAATTCGCGCAATTCGATGTTGTAGAGAAGTTCATGAGAAGACCCCACAAAGGGCCTCTTATACGTAAAGTACCATTCTAGGAACTTCTACAGATAGAAAGCCCTTCAAAAGGCCTTCTATATGTAGAAGATCATTTAAAGAATCTTCTATAGATAGAAGACACTTCAAAGGGCATTCCATAGATAGAAGACCCTTCAAAGAGCCCTCTATAGATAGAAGACCCTTCAAAAGGCCTTCTATAGATAGAATGCCCTTCATAAGGCCTTCTATATGTAGAAGGTCCTCGAAGGGGCCTTCCTTAGGTAGAATACCTTTCAAATGATGTTTTATAGATAGAAGACCCTTCAAAAGACCTTTATAGATAAAAAAAAAAATAATTCTTTAAAAAATCAAAGTAAGTTCGTCCTTTGATCCTTAAAAAAATATTCTTTAAAAAATCCACGTTGGTTCGTCCTTTGATCCTTGAAAAAATATTCTTAAAAAATCAACGTAAGTTCGTCCTTTGATCCTTAAAAAAATATTCTTTAAAAAATCAACGTTGGTTCGTCCTTTGATCCTTGAAAAAATATTCTCTAAAAAATCCACGTTCCTTTCGATCCTTGAAATAATATGGAGCGTATGACTGGTGTCATCACGTATACGCAATGAATGAATGAGTTTCTTCTAAGGCTTCTGAAGGCAAAGACCTTTAGAAAATACTTTTATCTATAGAAGGCACTTCAGGAGCTCAGAAGCTTCAGACGAAATTCAAATGGTCTCATTGCGTATACATTATGACAACAAGCATACGCTCCAGTGGCCAAGTAATTGAATTATTAAATAATTCATTAAAATAAACAAATTTCAAACTGTGCATAGAGATCTAGAATTTTTTTCGTATTTCAAATATCTGAAAGTTATTGCAATTTGACAATCTATGAAAATCCAAAAAAGTAGCCATATCTGTCACAACACCAATGGAGAAACCTGTATTTTTGGTCCAACAAAATTAGTTGCTTAGGTCCATAATTTCGCATTTTTTTCTCAATAAATCACAAAAAATCAAATGAGGAAAATAATTTAATACTCCTCCTGGTCTTCCGCTCTAATTTTTTATTTCCATAGATTTTTATAATCACAACATATTTTTCTTTTGGCACTGAAAAGGTTAACTGTCATCAAAGTGGCATTGGATAAGCGTGCTTGAGTTTCTACGCTCTCGTTGAGGTGGGCGTATGTTGAATGAGCGTTATTTGTACAAAACATGTTAATAATACGCAGTGAGGTTCCACAACAGCGGTTAACAGGAAGTAAATGAGGCCAGGGATGCAAGGAGAGAGAGTAACATGGCACACAAGCAGCGACAAAGAAAAAGTGGCTTAAAACCGGAAATTAAATATTTGTTTTCACTGTAAACTATTTAAGTTTTTTTTTCGAAAGAAGTGAGTTGGCAAGCAAAGTTCAATGTAATTTCCTAAGAAATTTATATTCTTTTTTGTTTGATTTGAGTATGTATTCTGCCCTTGATTTTTATTACCCTGGAATAAAATTTATTGGCTTTTTGGAAGGCTATTTCCATGAGGCAATAAAGGTTAAGTGGCAAAGTTATGAGGCAACATGTCTGGCGCTAATATTTCCAGCAAATTTCATTGATATTTTCCATAGTTATTTTATACATCGGGTGTATTGAGAATTTCAGGCTATACACATGTGTTTGAAGACGGGTTTAAAGTAATACCATCAAAATATCCAAAGAGATCTATGAACGTATACGTTGTGACATAAATTATACGCACCAAAGTTCAAGATATTAAATTCTAGAGTACGATTTGGACATATTGAAAAAATAATAGGGACTGCCTGTAACAAAGCCTCGAATATTGTATTTCCAATTTTAAAACATGATCCTTATTTAAAAATTTTTACAATGACAGTAGACTATGTTATAAAATTACAAAAAATATGAAATACAAAGCAGCTCCATGCCGCTTTTTTACAGAGGCTGTTTTTTTATTTCAAAATTCAAT